ATGTATCGGATGTATGGCCTTTTTTTTCTATAAGGTTTTCAGTTTGTGCACGTGGCCATAGGCATATCAGCCGGGGGGGGGGGGGGGAGGCAAGGGGGCAAGCCCCCCCCCCCCCTATTTCCGACAATGGTCACTGTCGGCTGCACACTGGGGAAACCAACAACTAATGCAAAATTTTCGTTCACCACTGCAATCACTCAATTATATTGTTATGAGAAAAAAACTATTACGAGGCAAAGGTACAATGTAGTGATGATTTTCCAACATTTCAGCAGTGACAATTTTCCTTGAAGGCTCTTTGCGACGCTTTCCGCCCTGTGCAGTGGCACTGCAGAGCAGGCTAGTACTGAACAGGGGTCCTATTGCATCACTTGTTCATGTTTTTATTCTGCTGCGACTGGCCGATGCAGTTATAAATGGGACCGAACAAGCTTTTTATGGACTCGTCAAAGCATTTGCTGCTTCAGGAAAATAATTTTCTTTCATCAAAAAGGGTTGCCATCACCGCTCCTCTGTCGAAGCTGCTGTGAGCACATGATTGCGACTAATCTTTCTAAATATTTTAGTTTTGCCATACGGGAAGCGCCAAGAAAGGTTTTCACTTTAATCTCGGTTATGATCAGCCTTGCTTATTGCAACTTGGAGTGATGGAGGCAGCTTGCAAAGCGGCGACGAATAAAGCAGTGGACTCGAGCTCTGTGGGAAGCTGAAATATGTCGAGAGAAATTCTCAAAATGCATTTGGTTCCTCAAAGTGTGCTTCACAGTTAAACACTGAATTTTTCATGAGCTGTTTTCAGTCATTGAAAATTTCCTTCAATAATAAAATATTTACTGTTGAGGAGGCCGCCATCAACACATTTGTATTCATGCGGAAAGTTGTGAGTTAATGCATAACACGTACATGTTGGCGCATCGAATTTTATCTATATATATATATATATATATATATATATATATATATATATATATATATATATATATATATATATATATATATATTATATATATATATATATATATAATAACTTCACATGCTACGTGACACCACACAGGCTCATAAAAGGTTGTTCCACACTCGCTGCCATGGCTACAAGTGGCACTGACTGACACTCCCACATTTAAGTTTACATATAAACCCAATAAAATGGCTTGGGTGATAGCCGCCGTGATAGCTCAGTGGTTAGAGCATCGAATGTGTTATTCGAAGGTCGTAGGTTGGATTCCTGCGCACGGCAAGTTACTTTTTCACCCATTTTTCTTTCTTCTTATTTACATTACATTGGTACTAATGACTTCCCCTATATTCCTTGGCATTATTGTCTGTTAAATCTCATTAATATTGTGTCAAAACACGGAAAAAACGAGCTCTTAGGTATACACTTCTTTCCTTTATATATATATATATATATATATATATATATATATATATATATATATATATATATATATATATATATATATATATATATATATATATATATATATATATATATATATATATGAAATCTAACAGACAGTAATGCCAAGGAAAGTATAGGGGAGGTTATTAGACCGTATTGTAAGGTAAATGTGAAGAAAGAAAAAAGGGTGAAAAGATAACTTGCCGTGGGAAGGAATAGGTGTGCGTATATATATATATATATACACACACATACCGGCTGACGAGTGCGGGGTAGGTTAGCCTCCCCACTCGCGAAAGAGTTGGTACGCCACTGCACGTGGCACACGAGTGGGTAATGCCTCAAAGGTTTCCAGCAGCCTCATGTACAACACAAGGGGTACAGGCAGCAGTGCCATTCGCTTGCTCTGTGGAAGCAGCCTGTGCTTCTTCACCACCATAGGGCATAAGAGTCTCTGGGTCTGTAGGCCGAAGTCCTTCCGTTGTAGCATAGAGCCCTAAAATTCCAGCACCTGTGCGTGTAACCAATATGCGCACATCCAGTGCCTCTGCTTAGGCAGTGGACTTCACATCATGCCCAGGCAGTGGACTTGACATCATTACGATTCGCTCGCTTTACGTATCTCTTGACATTACTGCCTACACAAGCACGAATTTCAGTTCATAACATATGGATTGCCAAGACCATATCTCTTTACTTCACTATTTCAGTGCACACAACAGCCTATTAAAGCAACTTTTATAGTGATGCAATGCACTCGGCTGTTTGAGAACTGTCTCTTTTTTGGCTAGTGCATGTCAGTTGAAAAGGAATAAGTTTGCTTAATAGTCTTGTCAAAAAAACTTATTCCTCCAGATATCTTAGCAATGTCTCTGCCACCTATTTCCCTGCTTTGAACAGGGATTTTATTAGAATCCCTTGTGGAAGCAATAATTTTTTCATGCTACTGAAAGCACATAAAAGGAAAATAAATCTCTACCACACGCTCAACAGTGGAAGGTTGACGTAGCAGATTGGGAGAAGTTCCAAAGCCTTAGTAGTATTTCGTGCACTGACGTCTTCCCAGGGAGTTTATTCTACTATTCAGAATTTTACCACTTTCATAACTGATGCCACTTTGAAATCTAGTTCTCACTTAAGTTGTGTGGCATAGAAATGTCGTGTCCTTTGGTGTAGCGAGTGCTGTAACGCTGTAAAAAGCAGAACAAAGAGTGGGACAGCTCTGAAATGCCCCACTTTGGAAAATCTGAATCACTTTTAAACTGATAATACCCCAAGGCAGGGAAACGGGCCAGCAAGCTGGAAGAAAAAAGTGGGCAGAAGAATTTAACTGCTATAAGCTCATGCACAGACGAGGCTAAAGTGGGCAATAAGGTTGATAAGTGGAGAGGGAGACAAGGGTATTCACTTTCTTTAGTAAGCGCACAGGTCAGTCGCTTGCAAGACCAAATGAATTTCCTGGGTAAACACGTTGAACATATGTCGAGGTCATCACTATGCCGTAAATCATTTTGAAGATACAAAACAAAGATAGGAGCACAAAATTAGATGAAGATCTGCTAAATACGAGGCTGGCAAGCAATCATTGCGAATAGCTGAGCTGCAGGCTGTGGTGGCCAACTATACCATTTGCGCACACCATTTTACTACATTCCTATTTCTCTGCACCTTGCTGCAGCCATTGAAGTGGAGCTTGGATCATCTGTGCCCAAGTTCTTCACCATTTCCCTTTTTACGCAGGAGTGAAGCGTTTATGAACCTCAAAGTATTCTTGGTCTAGCACCAATGATACCAACAACTTTTCCTCATTATTAGAGACATCCTCATATCTTGTTCCTTTCACCAATGCACTTTTTCTTCCTATGTTCAGCCTAACTTAATTATCGGTGTCGCTGTGTGTGCATTTGACTTTCACTCTTGACTGTTCGGTATTTTGTGAGAAAGTGGTAATAACATGTAGCCAAATGTTTTTGCTAACCACTGTGTATCATAAGCCAGTTGCACTGACCATATGGCTGGCTGCTGCTTGAAGCACCACATGCTGTAGATGACATTTTGGCGTACAAGAGCTTCTTTGATACTCAAAAAAAATTCTTTTAATGCACATTTCAATTGCACTGCACAAATTTTCCTTGGTATGCCAACTACCGCATTAAGCCAAAGTGTGCCTGTATGTATTGTGGCAAAGCATTTCGATGGCGTATATGCCGTTGTCATGCATGATCAGTGTTCAGTGCTGTGTGAACAGTTGCGCTTGCATAAGAACGGCTCATGGTGCAATTATTTGGGCACTTCATAGTTATTATTTTCTGAATACTCATGAGCCGCATCAAATTACGGCAATGCTTGAATGCATTTGTGCAATCACACGAAAAGTTGTCGTTCATAGTGGCTTTCTTTTTCTCCCAAAGTGTATTTTGTGTGGTTCGAACCTGCTCTAACAAGCACTTTCAGAGTTTCAAACCTTTGTCTGAACACAATACCTTCCACTGCAAATATGGTGGTTTAGTGGCTAAGATACTCGGCTGCTCACCTGCAGGTTGTGGGATCAAATCCCAGCTGCGGCAGCTGATCGAGGTGAAAACGCTGTAGGCCCGTGTGCTCAGATTTGGATGCACGTGAAAGAACCTCAGGTGGTTGAAATTTCCGGAGCCCTCCACTATGGCGTCTCATAATTATATGGTGGTTTTGGGACATTAAACCCCACATATAAATCAAAATCATCAATGTAAGCCAAATTGAGGCTCTTTATTCATTTCTTCCTCTTTGTTCTTTGACCCATTTTTTTCTATCTTTTCATCAGTCTCCCGCCCATAGGAGCGCAGTCATATGGTTCCTTTCAATGCTCGTTCTCCTAGTGTGAACTAGATAACCAAGCGGTTACGATGCTCGCTTTCGGACTATGAGGGCTCGAGTCCCACTTCACCAAGAAATTTTACATCGCACATGTAGTGAGCTGGGCCATTTGGTATGGATCCATGGTAATGAGAGCGAAAAAGAAGACAGTGCACATAGGAGGGTATGCCAAGAACAAGGCCTTTTTTTAAATAATCTTTTTAATCAGAAAAAAAAAAAAAGCTTACATATAGCACGTAGCAGTGCGGTGCATGCGCAAAGAAAAATTTCAGTCCCTTTTTTCGCTCATAAACCAAAGCACACTCATGGCGCGCATACTTCAACTCGTCCCAAGATCCGAAATTTTGTAATAATTGAGTATAGGCGGCACCTGACTGGTACATCCTTACGGCAGTTGGGAGATGTGCACAGCTTCCACAATTCACATGCTTTTTTCATTCCGTGTTTGTACATGATGGATGTCGAACACAAATACTAGCTAACATACTAAAAAAAAAAACTTCATGGGCCTAACTGTTAGTGTAAAATTCAAACGATAATTTGGACCTTTACTTTTATAATAAATAATCAATCAATGATGACAAAGGGAATGGCAATAGAGTTTTTAAAGAATAATTTATCTCTTCAAACATCTTCAATATTGCCCTTTAGTGTCTCTTTAAACAGCTCTTGTGTTGAAAATGTACCATTTATTGATAGGAAAGGGGAGTTACCATAGCAGAATTGTTGTGTGTACTTGCAGATGGTTGATGTGGACACTTTTGTCAACCACCCATGGATCTTTCGGGATTCGTTCACCAAAGACCGTCTGGTTGTTCGTCACAAGGAGGTCTTCCAGCCTCCCGAAACGTCCCGTTGTGGCCCTGATGGGCAACCCCAGTACATTCGCAAAGTGGTTCTCATCACCCTGCCAGGTCAGTGACGAGGTCCTTGGCATTTTGAGTGTACTAGTGGGTTCTTGGTACAGAGAACTATGTGTGCTACATTTACTCACATAATTTGCGCAACCCTAACATTTTCCCAGGTTTTCAGTGTGGAAGAGGAAATGCCTGCCTTAGATGGCAGCCATCAGTCCTTGTGGTCTAGGGGCATCCTTGGCTTGCCGAAGGACTTGGGAGTTGCACTTCAGAGTCTGGGCTTAGCAATGCGGTCTCCCACTGTTCTCCATTAATACATATAATTTTGCCCTTTCGCTCTGTCACAAGCCCACAGTATATGATCCCGGCAGGCTCGCCAACTAATGTCACCAATTCTATCACAGGAGTGCTTGCAAAAGATGGATTTGAGAGAGAGACGTGGGAGAGACGGGCTTGTGGCAAGACAAGCGCTCTTTACCCCACCAAAGAAAAACAATGACAACAGAAGAAGAACATCTAAAGTGAAAGCGAAACACTCATGAGTACACAAAATTACTCTAGTAACACAATAACACTCCAAACTTATAAATATCTTAATAACGTCTTTGTAAATGTCAAGTCCCGAGTTGTGCCGTTACTTACGTGCGCTGTTACCTATTTTAGTAGGTGCCTCAGAATCGTTATGAGTGTAAAACCCTCGTTTTAAACGTCTGTTCATAGGTTGTGACCCTTCATATTCTCGGTAGTGTATCGAAGCCGCATGCGGTTAGTTTGACAACAACAAGAGCCTGTCTGTCCGCTATTCTCAACACTTTGCGGAAAAGTGGACCAAGCTTCGGCCAGTGTCGGGGTGGGCTGTAAATGTTAAGCACAAATAGGCTGCCCTGTCTTAGAAGAAGGGATTGTTTCTATCAGGATGTGGTCTGTGCAGTGCATTACTGGTATCAAGCTCCACATCCATGAGGTTCATGTGTGTTATAGTCATGACAGCCCCTTTCTTGCCAGAAGCAGTACACGATTTGTGCCGGTCCTTCCCCCCCCCCCCCCCCGTCACTAGCGCATCGCTGCAGATTTTTCAGTTTTCTACGACAGCTGCGGCTATTACACTGCCAAATCCTTTACTTATTATGTGGTGCCATGTTGGTTAATAGGATTCTTTCTCCCCTGTCACTTTGAACTTTTCTACTGTGAATGGTCTGCTATACGGTTTGCATTTAATCGGCCCTGCACTAGCCCTTCGCGCGCTGTTACAATTGCTGTTACATTTAGCTCGAGTTCGTCAAGTTGTTTTTTCACCTCTGCGTACATGTTAGTAATTTGCTGTTTTAGTCCATTGAACATTTCCTTAAACAATCCCTTAACCTTGCTGATTGAGAAGTTGCTGGTTTTCTCCACTTTTTCTTGCGGCCTGATTTTAAGTGGCGGTTACTTCCCGCTCATTTGTGTGGGAACAGATGCCAGAGCTCGATTAGGCATTGGCATTTCGCCAACAGAGCGTGTTAGCGGTCGTCCCCATGGTCCTGTGCTGCTGATGCTTCCTATGTTCTTCTTTGAGTTGTTTAATTCTCTCTGTAAGCATAACTTTTTCTCGTGTGATCTATTCTATCATGTTTCTATTCTGCGACATTTCTTGTACTAAAGCAAACCCCCATAACATGAGTCGGGGAAGCAGTGCTAGAGACCGCGCTAGCAAAACTCATACGACTGCTGCCGCCGCCGCCCTTTCTATTAGCTCTCAAATTCGGCCTCGGCTATGATCTCGACCTTGTTTTGGACAGGCACCACGCTCGAAACCTGGCCAGTTCATGGAAACTGAGGCACTCTGTGAAACTCAAAGCTTAAAAAGTCACTCCTTCGGCTGACTACAGTGAACAGCTAGACAAGGTGTGAAAAAAAAATATATATATATATATATATATATATATATATATATATATATATATATATATATATATATATATATATATATATATATATATATATATATATAGATATCAGTGCATAACTATTGCTTATTAGTGCAAACGCAAAGGGATACCCTGACCAAAAGAACACAAAGTTACTAACGTTTCAGCACCCTATGCGATAGCCTTGTTCACAATTAAGGCTGTAAGAAAGGCACAGCGTACTTAAGGGGCACTGAGGAGCAAAACGATTTTTCGGGCATTGACTAAGTACAATTTCACAATCCTGAAAACACCACTTTTAGCGTGACACAACTTTTGGTAAGCGAGAAAGCATGCGAAGAGAAAATGGGGGTGGATATGCCACATTCAGATCCCCGCACCAAGCACCATGACGTCATAAATTTTGAAGCCGTCAGGTGGGTTCTACATTGCTGTTTTTGGGCAGAGGTCATCTACATTGTAATCTGTAGCTGCCATAGGTCCTAGCATGCGAAGTTTCTAAAAATTTCCTCGAGCCGGTGTCGTGGAAATACAAAAACTGCATTTTGAAAATTTCTAAAGTCACGCGCAGAGATTTCAGCGCAAAATTCAAAAATGAAACTTCAATCTTTCTCCTTACGACAGTCAAACAGCAGGCATTAGAGTTCTCGAAGTTCAGTTCATCAATCTAAATCAAGTTATTGTTTCTCTGTAGTGTCCCTGTAAGTGGGCCTAAGTACATGACATGAGCACTGCTAGAAGTGTCCTATCACTTCTGTCCTTTTTTTGTCAGAGGCAGTCAATTTGGTGGCCTATAAATTCCACATGTTCAGCAAGGGCATTCGTGACTGCATGTTGTTTCGTGACATCATATTCGTATTGGTCAAGTGTTTTTTTGAAATCACCGTTTTACTGGTTGTCACAATCATAGCAACCTAAGGCATAAACAACATCGGGAAAATTTCGGAGAAGCGCAATCTCCTTACACGCTACCCCAGTTTTCATTTCAGGTGTCTGAGGACTTTCATTGTGCTCCAAGCTTCAGAGCCCAGAGAAATAATTAACACCAAATTCATGTGCTCGTCATGAAAGAAAAAAAAACAGAAAATTTTGCAGTTCGGCTTTGTTATAGCGACATCGTCGTTGGTCATTTCAAAGGCAAGGTGCACAGGATGCACGAATAGTAGTTCTTTTTTGCTGAAAAGTGCTTATTCTTGAGGCTTGTTTCAGCACAAAGGCCTTGAAGCAATATCTCCCATCGCTGTGCGCAACACAGGAACACTTGCTTTGGAGCACTTCCTGCCAGTGCATGGATTGCCTTTAAGTGTGTCGGTGTTAAACACTAGCATCTAGAAAAAAAAAAAAAAAGCAGGCAGGCAGTTTCATCGCAGTTGTGTGTTTCGGCATATTGTTTCAACATGGTGCGCACATTCATTTGCAGCAGTTCTTGCCTCGTGTCCGCATGCAACAATGCTGCCTGCTCCATCGAAAATAGCTGAGCTCATCATTGAATTCCAGCCTGAAGCAGGCCTTAAGTTCTTTTTTCCAGGAATAAAAAGTGAATCTCTTTTTCTTTGTGACTAGTATGGGCCCACTGATGGGCGCATTCTGTTTACATAAACCGTCTGTGTTGTGCGTCCTCAATGTTGGCATACAAAGCGTCGCCAACCCTTATACAGGGAAAGCTGTTATGAGATTACAAGTCGGGTCACATGCCACTGTAGTTGTCCACCGCCGCCGCAGGTGTCCATAACCACATCACACGAAATTAGAAAAAAAATCTAGCGCCAATGACACAGTAGGGCTCGAACCCGGGTCCGCTAGGTGCCAGCCCAGTATTCTACCACTGAGCAAACGCCGATGCTTGGGACTTGTTGGCAAACTGGCATTAGGCAGGCTTGATGTCGAGAAAGAAATTGCGTTAATACGACTTATAAACCGTTTTAAAACAGCGAAAGAACAACCAGTCGTCGCACAATGCGAATAGCGTAATGAGTGGGTCGTCCAATGCTCCAAACCATTACAAAAGCTTATTCTTAATCACCTATTAACTGTGGTGCATACCCAGTTCAGGAATAATTCCTCATCGTCGTCAGGCACTGCATGAACAATTGGCACAAAATTTGTTGCGTTTAGCGGATACCACATTTTTCAGAAGAATGACGAAAAATAGCATAGTGAATGCCGGCCTACTACCAAAAAAATTTTATTAATAATGCCGTAGTGGGTACCAAGCAAGTGTCCTTGCAGCAGTTATGCAATGAGTGTTTAGACAAGGCTCTGACCGGCTACTCATCTAGCTTTTAGCTGTGACTGTGCTGTGTCTTACGCAGAGGCTTGGTGTTTTTTTCACCATCATCGATATCATCAACTGTTCAAGACCATGCTTGAAGGGATCGCTCATTCTGTGGACATGCAGAGAGTATTGTGAACTTTGTTGCTTCATTTCCAGGGACACAGCATTGCACTCGGTCAGTGCCATCTTCAACAAGCTGACCTTTTCAACTGCCTCTGACTCCATGCATGTTGTCATATGAGGGCACAAGCAGTGCTATCCCTGCACTGTTGTGTTCATGCAATGCTCTGTAACCAGGTGATGCAGCCAACATTGGGTTGACTGACTGGAAGCAGTCATTTTTAAGTGCTAAGTGGGAATATTTTGTTCTCAGCGGTTTTTGCAACCAACACGCTTGAAAAATTGGGGGCTAGGATGAACTCGTATAAATCAAGCCCCCATCTTTGCACTGTGCAAAAGTACAGTGAGTGTCATGCTCAGCTTGGGAAACTCTGTCCAAGAAGCAGTACGTTGCATTTGACATGCAATCGAAAACATATTATTATTCATGCTTTTCCTTGTCGTAGCCTTAATGTGCAAGTTCATACTGTCAAGTGAACTCATTGTTATGACTGATGCAGAATTATGTGTGATATCATTATAAGTGAACTGCACTGTAAAGTGGCTGCAACAGCTAGCAGTATCAACACATTTTAGTTTCTAAATTTATGTCCTTGAAGTTTTGTTTGTACGACCTTTGACATAAAACATTTTAAGCTCGAGTCGTTTATGTTGTTTCATTCCCCTGCACGGATAGGCACCTGTCATGGAAATTTTTTTGGCAAATTTAGCCTCGAATAGATTTCAGTAAGGTTGGGCTTGCGTGCTCGTCTAACTCTGCAGCACCTGGTGATTCGATCTTTAATGTGATGCAATATAGTGGTACTCACACAAAATTATGTGGCCAAGATAGTTTGTGTGATCAATTCCCGTGAAAATGCGTATATCGTCTGCAAAATATCAATAGCAGACATGGCTTGGAAGGTATTTTGCAGGGCTTTTGTAGTTTGCATGCTCGATTAAGCACAGTGACCCACGGTGATCACAGTACTTTTCTCACGTCACCACGATGCAGTCAATACAGCAAGTTATGATGATGTCATAACTGGCAATTTTCTTTTTGCCCTTTTGCTCTAGCAGACGGATGCTCACGAGACAGCTGTTCACTGCTGCTCAATGGTTGCTCCCGAGTCTGTGGCCGTGGCGCATGTGTTGAAGTTTTGTGTTTGGCGACACTGCTGTCTCGTTTCCTGTTTTAATGGACTTCTTGATGTGTGCCGTGTGGAAGTGCATCACAGTGTGGCAAGCTGACACAGTCGAATATCGCACATGCTTGCTGGTGATAGCGGCACCCCATTTGTGAAGCTGTTTTATGCCGAAACTGAGACTGATTGGTAACGAGGAGTCTGTGATTAATTATTCATTGTTCACTGCAGCAAACAATGTGCTTTGTTATGACTAACAGATCTGCAGCGACACATTTAACCAAAAGAACGCGAGGCTGAAATTTTTGTGCAGGCACCCCTTTAAATGGGCCCTCCAACACTCTTGAAGCACCTATTTTTAATTTGTGTTTTGCATAGAGTGATGGCTGGGGATAATTTTAGCATATGTCTAAGCACTGATATTAAATGACTCAGTATTTTAAACACGCAATAAGGTTGCGAAATCTCTGCCAACCGCATCAGGATGTAGTTGCACTTGCTAGAAAATCATGTGAGCAGAACTTATGGCGGATGTGGGCAAGCTTATGATTGGAATAATTTAATGTTAAAACCGATCATAGCTTGGCATCAAAAGTGAGACTACTAACGTGTAACATTTTTCTTTTTTGTGCTTTTTTATTGATCTCCAAAGAGATGTAGTATCAACCAAAAAAACGTCGCAACAACTACAAAGCACTACAGAGGCACGACAGAGGGGCGCATCCATACGAAAGGGGTAGGCGAAAAACTTTTATTGAAACAGAGGAGTTTGGAGTATGCAGGCTCTCAGGCCCCCAAACTGCGCTGAAGTGTTCATTTTATGGTGGTCTATGTCTCCATGATGCTGGCAGCCCGGTCGGCAGCTATTGGCTGCTCACCAGGTCCTCTTAACGCTTTTCTCGCTCTTCCCCCTTGCTTCTGTGCATTCGCGAGCGGCCTCTTTCCATGTGTGTGGTAAGCTCTAGATTGTTGCTGAAAGGGTGCAAGCAGTCTCCTTCGTTGAACTGATGTCACTGCACCATCGTAGTTCGTCAGGTGGCTGACCGAACGATGCGTGAAGGGTCAACAGCATTCAATCGCCGTGGTCCTTTTGTAAATTTTTTATCAAAATGAGAGTGAGAGAGTGACATGGAAGTTGTAAAGAACAGCAGAAAATATGTTGCTTCGAAACAGCAGTGCCCACTCACATTTCAACGAGTCAGGTGTCAGGCACCACGTTTGTTACCATGGCAATGTTGTCTACAATACATTAGAAAGAACAAGCAACTATGGCGTGCGAGCTTCCCCTGAGTAGGAGTTTCTAGCTGATTTCATTTGGGGGAGCCCTCCACTGTCGCAGGGCTAAACAGGGCCAGTGAAATGCGGTCAGGTGAACTCGCGAAAATTGAGTTGAGGGTAGGCATTTTTCTTTTTGTATTTTAAATTTTCTCCATGAAATAACTTTGAAATGTGTGATATTATTGGTGCGATTCTTGCTGCACTAACCTCTCTGATCTTCAGTATACGTAAGCCTGGAATAGAAACTTAGGGGTTGAATAGTGTTGGAGGACTCTTTTAAGTGACGGTTCTGGCTCCCTAGGATTTTTGCCAGTTTCATGTCACAGAAAGAGAAGTTTGTAAGGTCCCTGACGAACGTGTTTGTCTTTTTTCTCCTTTGCACAGTTGCCAGGCTGCTTGTGCCTGCCACCAGCTTGAAATGTTTTTTTTTGCGACTCTTTTTCATCTTGGGCAGAAGCTCTTTGTCACTCTCATGCACAAAAAAAACATTGCTTTTTTTTGTCACAACATTGACATAAGACAGCCTTTACTTGTAAAGCAAGCTCATAATAATTCAATATCTCATACTCTTGGTCAAGTTGAACTTGATTTGAATTTTCGTTTGGCCCGCTAAGTTTCTGTTGCATATTAAAAGTTCTTAATTGAAACTGCATCATTCAGGGAATCCTTAATATTGACTGCCTTTGTTCCTTCTAGGTGAACGTCTCCATTTATATATATTTAAAGGCCAACTCTGGCGATTTTTCGAGCTTAATGGATCTCAATAAATATCGCTGGGTACGTTCCTTTGCACATTTTTGTCATTTAAGCCAAATTACAGGCTTGAGAGATGCGTTGATTGTTTGAAATTGAATTTAAAGAGTGCCTCGAAAATCTCATCTCGCTTTCCAGAATTATTGGCAACACTGTCTGTGTGACGTCACATTTTGCATGTAAACAGAAGTGATGCAGCCAATGGCATCGCTACTTTGGCCGCTACAGCGTTTATTGTGCAAGGTGACAGTGGCAGTGTTTGGCACTGGTATAGCACGGGAAAGCTTTCTTCCTTCCTCTGTGGTGTTTGGCCGGCACTTCGCTGGTTTGGCCTTCACACTTTTCATACTCTGCACCGGCGGGACCAGTATGCGGCCCCTGGTTCTTACCAAATGGTACGTCAAACGCAGACAGGGTGCCCGGTTGGGTTTCGGTTTCGGTATTAGACCTTTTTGCTTATTAAAAATTATTTTCGAATTTCCTGAGTACGTATTTCAGCTATTGGGGTCGTAACAACAGTATCTCAGTAAGATAGAAACACCATTACCTTGACATGGTCGAAAAATCGCCCAAGTTGGCCTTTAGCATCAAAAGTAAAAATAAAAAATAAAGGAAATTGCCTACCTGAACTTAAAGCGGTCAATGCCAAAAGCAGGTAAAAAAAATTGAAACAGCGGGAATGCTTATGATAATATACCATTTCTACTTTTCTTGATAAGTTTTTGAGAGTCATATTTTTTGCTTGCATCTGCTAATTAAAACCAAATTCTTGGGTCTCCTTGGGTTTGAATTATTACGTTAAAAAAAATGTGCAGTGACATTATAGAATGTTTTTTGATCACGTTGTTCTTCCTTTCTGGATGCAGTGTGCTCTCTGAAGGAAATCTGTTTTCAACAAATAAGGCAATCTATCACGTCACCCGAGGCCATCTTTGAGACGGGCATCCCAAGCTCGCTGATGTGGGATTACCTCCTCTTCCTTCAGCGGGATTGAAGCATGTGCCTGTCAAGTTCAGCAACAGACCATCTTGGAGTTACTGTATATGCTACCTTTAGGTAGCAGAGTTGCGCCACTGATAGAACTCACCGCGCGCGCCCCCCATTCGTGAAGCGTGCTCACGTGCGCGAAAAATCGTTCATATTAGGAGAAGCTAACTTTACGCCCGCGCGGGTGCTTGCGACACCGCACCACTGGTGTCACCACCGCTGCTGCCAGGCTGGTGAGGCAATCCTGCTGAGTGCGGAAGTACTTGTGTTGGCGTTGTAATTGGGTCTCGTCTTGTCCGTTTTTAGTGGACGTCAGTGTTAGTGGTGTGTGTGGGGCGCAGTGCCGTGACAGTGCTGCATAGTTGCCACAAGACCGGATTCCACAGCTACGTGTACATATGCAGAAAATTTTCGTTTGCTTGCGTTATTTGTAAAACCCGGAGGGATATAGTTCCAGTGATTGTTTTATCAAGCCAACTGCTTAATCGTTCCAAGGGGTCAAAAACTATGCGAGACGAGGGATTTGCAGATCTTAAGTTGTCACGAATCGTGTACACGAATCTCAACAAAGTCAAAGTGTTCTTGTTTGCTATTTAAAACAAAAATATCGTCCTATGGTGACATTATTTATTTAGGTGTTCTTTTTTTTTTTTTTTTTCAAAGTGAAAGTCATTGCGCCAGAAACGAAGTATTGATTGATTCGGGGGTTTAACGTCCCGAAACCACCATATAATTATGAGATATGCCATAGTGGAGGGCCCAGGAAATTTTGACCACCTGGGTTTCTTGAACATGCACCCAAACTGAGCACACGGACCTACAGCATTTTCGCCTCCATCGAAAACACAGCCGCCACAGCCGGGATTCGATCCTGCGACCTGTGGGTCAGTAGCCGAATACCTTAGCCACTAGACCACAGCAGCAAGGCAGCGACGAGTTTTGAAGGAGCAAGAAAACGTACGGAGCCACTGGGCTGCGTTGGCTCCTACATTTAGAAGGGGCGACTTTTCTATGTGACATGAATGTCTCAGCGGGCAAGATGGCAGACCTATGCACAACTCTGCTACCTAAAGGTAGCATATACAGTAACTCTAGACCATCTAGTCACCTGCAGTCACCAAGTGGCCTGTATACGAACACTGGCAGCAGTATGTATGTTGGAATCCAAGTGAAGACTAGTGAGGAAAGGACAAGCAGCTGGGATGTCCAAGTGACAGAAGAGTGATACTCAGCATAATGCTACGGCCAAGGTAGCTGGTGTGATGTAAGTGAGGACGGACAAATTTATTGTTTCCATATTTTCCTCTATGTGGGCTGTGTCTTGCAGTGAACTGGTTAGCTTTGGCACAGTCGTTCCAAGTGCGTGCAATCTGAAGACAAGCTGGTGTTGTGAACTGTGTGCTGAAGTAAAAAGCATTTCTTGTATGGGTGATCACCAATTGCTTAGCATCACAAAGTGATGCGAAAGCTGTGTAGGGACATTATAGCATACCTGCCAACTCTCCCAAATGGTTCGGGAAACTCTCAAGTTTTACCTAATCTCCCGATTGTACAAATGCCATCAGGAATCTCCCGAAAAGTGGCCGCTACAGCAGAGGCATTTTTTTTTAGCAGCACGCGTATGTCAGTCTTTTCTGCTGCATAAAATGGGGTGCCGCAGAAGAAGACTCGCCAGTACACATCTAGTTCAATGTAGAGTACTTCTAACCATGTACCACACATCTGGGTAAAGGTCGGTGCCCTCAAGACACACTCACCACCATAGCAAAAGAAGGCAAAGGAAAAGGTACCACAACCTTTGCGTCTGCCTTGGTTCACGCATTTCATACACCAGGTCGCCGCCGCCTGCCTAGGTGCCGATCGTGTTTGGTACATGGTTGGGAATGTTGCGTGTTTCCCAGTTTTGTTGGAAGGTCGGTGGTGGTGTCAGAAGCTAAGAAGAACCTGAACTTATTGAAAATGTGATGTCAGGTTATAATATTCTTTAGCTATCTCACTTGACAGATCTAAGCCTAGTGCATTTCTGAGTTTTATTGTCTATCAGTACCTACACTTAGGCACATTGCTGTGTATAGTATAAGTAGCTGAGGTTACAATATAAGGCAAACACAAGGAGTGCTGTAGAATTCATGTTAACCCCACTTATGCCACATGCTGAAAGAGTAATTGAAATATTCTTTTTGCATAAAATCTAGCAACACCTATAGGGTGAGTGTATTAGGCGCTATTTTTCTCATGTTCTCGTTAGTGTAGAGGCACATGTGCATGCAGCCAGGAAATAGTTCCACGTCAATGAAGTCGACTGCTATGCTATGATGAAAACGTAAGTTACATTTATTCAAAAAGAAGCTTTCAAGTTCTTGATGCTGCAATATTTTTGTCAGTTTGTGAGTATATGAACGTGTGCAGAAAACACTTATTTTCATGGTATTCACACAAGCTTGTAATCCGCCTCTTTCATGATGCCTCTGCGCATGCGCATTTGCCCTAGATGTAAAGTCGCGGAATGTCTCATCTCGAAGGCTTTGCTTCTGGCAATACTGGAGTTGCAGGTGCCCAGTAAAGCCCTACTAACGCAGAGGGCAGCACAGGAATATGACAGAGATAGATTGCAGTGTGTTGAACAGTGTTGTCCTGCGTGTGTCGGCCAATCGATGTGTCGTCATTTTGGTACATGCGCTGCGTTGCACATTTAGCGATAAAGTAACATATAATCACACACGTAGTACAATCTTGCTTTTCATGCAGTGCAGCGCAGTCCATGTTATTCGAGAAGAGACCCACAAATTCTCAACCACATTCTGAGTCCCATTGATGCTGGCTTCTGTGGCCGTTCTTTCGCCCAGGGATCATGTGGCAGTGGTGACAGGTGGAATAAGGGCACCAGCATGGATGATATCCCTGGAAGCACTCTTTGGGTCTAAGTCGTGGAGTTCGGAGGGTCATTCCACGCCAAACGCCCAAGACATTACACTCTACGCTTGCTGATTCTGTTCCAAAAAGTTGTTTCCCATCATTTTAGTGCATTATTTCTTATCGTGCAGTATTTTTGCAAGAAAAAAAAAAGATTTTTCTGTCTCGTACAGCGATTTGTACTGTTGTAATGTGTGAAAACTAGCTTGCAAGGAAGCATACTCAGCACTATGCTCGACATGGAGCGCCTTAAGTCTCCGCAGGTTGCTGTATGGTGCTTTCTCACTGTGTCTCTTTGGCGGCTTTGTCTTGTAGTGTGCATTGTGGTGAAGCAATAAGGAAATTCTGCACTTATTCTGATTGTTTTAAATACTCTACAAGGGTCACAACGCACCTATGCCCCATGGTTTGACACTTGGGAGTAAGCTAGTCAGAAAAGGTCGACTAGCTGGTAGTTTCGAAGTGGGATGGCAGGATTACTAACGGCAAGATGTGTTAAATGGCCTCATTCTCAGGCACATGCAGATTGGTGATGTGCTCCATGTTAAAAATGTGTGGTTGTACTCATTTGAAAGAGAGAAGAAGGGAGACATATTAGTTTCAGTAAATAGGCTGGAAAGAATACAGGACAGTTACGGTAGTCTCAAATGCCCTCAAGGTTGAACCATTCGAAATTATAGAAACATTTTGAAAGAAGAATGCGTTTGAGATCTCTTATAATTTCCAGGGACTATTGCAGCATGGAAAGAGTTAATAGAGGTGATAAAATATCGCTCAGATATTAGAAAAAAGAAGTGGTATTGTTCATTTTGTATCTGCTTAATGCACATGCAATAACGCGTTCCAGTTGTGCAGAATCGGAACACACAAAACGGAGCTCCTAGCTCCCATGTCGAAGGGCGATGTTGTGCGTGAAGAATCTAAACCTCAGCATGGAAAACCTAAACCTCAGCATGGAAAAAGCCAGCAATCTCCATAGGAAGTCGAAAGCCAGTTTGTCCACATTGACTACGCAGAGATCCGTCAACCGAGCATTGTGGGCTCCTTGGTACGATATATACCGGTGAAAAATGAGAAACCAATGTCTATGTAAAGTGCTGGAAAGTGCTATCACACTATCATTCAAGTAAGTGGTGTATCTCCCTAATGTGTCCTGTACGGCTCCAAAGAAAAGAAGTAAAAAAAAAGTGAATAAAAGGCGTGTCTTTTTTCGTTTTGTTTTTTGAGGTAGCAGAAACAATTAGTATTCTTCAGTTAATTTTTAAGAAAGTTCGAGCACATATATTCCCTACCAGCATAAGATACTGATAAGAGGTCCAGTGTCATTCGCTCTGAATGAACCAACGACTTCAAGTACTTTTAAAGTGTAGCTAATTAAGGCTGTTTGCAGCTCATACTGTAGACCGGCATTTTTTTCATGCTATAACACAGTTTGCTCGCTTCAGGTGTCCGCTGGCTTTTGCGGCTTTTGTAATAGAGAGAGATAAAGCCGACATGCAAATATTGCAAGGTAGTTTTCTCTTGTTACAATGTGGATCTGAAGCATGGCACAGATAGTTCGTCTATTTATTACTGACCACTATAATCGTGCTCTCATCATTAACTCGCTTTCTCGCATCTACTTTCTTAAAAGAAAAATGGCTCGCTCTGCTTTGCTGAGTGCTTTGTCACGCTTATAGTATACATACATCGTTAGTGACAGTGAATTACCTGGACCACGGTGATAACAAAGAATGGGTCATTTCAAAGCAACTGTTGCAACCAGGGTACTCGTAAAAATTCACTTTCTATAACGAAATCTCAGAAAATTACCTTTGTATAGGCATTAGTTTTAGAGTATTTTCTCACAATAGCGGTAAAAATTTGCGCACGTGACCACCAACTTAAATTGATGAAATTGTGGGAAACGAGCTGCGAAGGAAAATTCTTTTTCCGAGCATTGGGTTTCATTATAGGAGCGTTCGTTACGCTAGCTTTCCGTTTTTCACCCCTTAGCACTTAGGTAAAATTGCATAAAATTTAGCATTTTCGGGATTCTTTTTACAAAGGACGATTATTGATAAATTCATTCCTTATTTTTATCAAACTCTTCATAAAACATACTATTTCTTAATATTCTTGTTTCTTAATTTTGTAGGCTCCAAAATAAAAATCCTAAAGTTAGCAAACATGTCACTTTGGCTGATGCTGAGATCTCAGTAGCACCCTAAGGTAGTCCAAGAAAAAATCTGCTGAAACGCTCATATGATTGAGAATCATAGTTACTTTTTTCACAAGAAGTTAACTGAAGATTAGTCGATTTATATGTGGTGTCTAATGTCCCAAAGCCACCATATGATTATGAGAGAGACATTCACAAGAAGGTAAATCGGGGTCATTTTTATTATGAGTGCAGTAGCAACCAACAGCATTGGCTGCATAAGAAGTAGTAGTCTAATTGCATTTCATGATTTTAAGTACTTTGTGATATTACTTTATTTCGTAGACCACATATCAAGGTGATAATGAACAAAAATAAAATGTAATGATGTGATATTGGCTTAGGCACCACAATATGGCCCGACAGTGAATCGCGTGACATTTATTGCATGTGGCTATGAGAATTATACCTTCGTTAATTTGAAGTTGCTGGGACCGCAAGAAATGTTCGAATTAAGCGGGTTCTCGAATCAGCAGGACATGCTAAAATTCGGATGCAAAAAACTTCAATATAATCAAGTCATAATCAGGGCTGGTCGTTTGCTTTGCTGGTTTGTGGCTCCAAGGGTTATGTTTTCCAGCAATACAAGGTCACAGTTTTGCCACAAACAAGGGGAATGCTGAGCCTGACTGCTGCAATCGCAAAGAAAAAAAAAATCGTAACTGAAATGCGGACCTGCGAAAAAGAAGACATCTTCGCTGCAACACAGTAGTGGCACGCGGGCAGCGTGTCACCTGCTTTTTGCTGCATCAACACGTCATGATGCGATCATTCGCCCATTCTTTCAAGTCAAACAAATAATTTAATAATAGACAGTGTGACGATATTCACAACGTTTTGGCTGGAAAACATTATCATTGAAGCTTTCGAACGGAGTTTCTGAAGTAGGCGTAGCAGGCAAGAACTCCGCCAGCAGTGCAAGTGCGCCAATTGCTGGAGCAACCGGCACTCGGAGATTCACATACATCGCAAGTTCCGTGAGACTGTCCTTTATTAATTTCTTTATAATCACAAAAAATATGGGTAAATATGGATGTGCTGACGTTGCGAGAAAATGGGTTCGGATCCCGGCTGCATTTCCGATGGAGGCGGAAATGTTGTAGGCCCGTGTGCTCAGATTTGAGTGCACATTAAAGAACCTCAGGTGGACGAAATTTCCGGAGCCCTCCACTACGGCGTCTCTCATAATCATATGGTGGTTCCAGGACGTTAAACCCCACGCATAATCATCATCACGTTGCGAGAAACATGCGACATGCTGCCTGTGCGTCACAACTGTATTGCAGTGAAGCACGTCTTGTTTTCCACAGGCGCACATTTCAGTTAATCAGAAGACCCTTTTTTTTACAGTTTTATTTTTTGTGCCTTAAGTATCGAGGCTGCCGTACTTCAGCTACCACTCAGTAGTATCCCTACAATACATTCCCTAGTCGCTCTTAAGTTCTGTCAGTTTTGCGGCGAAACGGGGAATTGTTTCACTGCAGCCAAAGTTTTCGAATTAACCGGACTGGCGCTGACCGCCGCTTCAAATTATCTGCTCAAACTTCCATTTCAAAATACGGAACCGCTGAAATAATTCTATTTAGACTGGATTTCGAAATACCCGAGTTCGAAATAATGAGGTTTTACTGTAACTGGTGTTGAAAATAAACTTATGTCTGGACGTTTATGTAGACTTGAGAGAGGAGACGCGAGCATGGCCATTTATCGAGCTTCTCCTATTTATTTTCACTTTAAAATTAATGACTCCCACAGTTTTTATGGAGCACTTGTTCAGAACTCTATGACTGCAAGTGTATTACTGAACATGCATCTTTTTTATGAGTATATGAAACAGTGCAGTTGATGTAATTGACACATATCTTGTGTGAGTCATTTTTACCTCACCTTTTCTTTGTGGTGCTATGCACTTTCTCCCTCATTAAGAAATGCACAACTTACGCTATTGCATGCAAATGCAGCCTACACACCTGTTAAGTATGTGACCACCAAGCACAGCCCTTAACTTGATGCAGAATATTTTGGCACTATTGTGCATCGCACGATTGCCATGCTAAAGAACAACTGGATAAATTAGTCATAACAAAAAGAAATAATTACATTGAGGATGGCATAGATGCAACATTGCTTTTTTGTTGATTCAAACACATAACTCTTTTCATTCTTGAGTCTTCATTGTGGTTCAAAATTTGCCGAGGCTGGATATATGGGGCCACATCTCAGCCATGTGGCTTCACATAAAGAAACCCATTATTAATTTGCCACCTAATCTCTGCTCCCGCCTTTCTAATGTAGAGAGGCAGGAGCAGACTGTCTTTTGGTCTTGCTGCGACCAAAAGACTGTCTGCCGAAAGAGAGGTTCCCCAGGCTAGTCTACGAAATTCTGTGTACAGACTGTCTGCCACCTACATTGGTGAGACAAAAAACTTCCCCGAAAGGATACGACAACATCGAAATAATGTGCGTAACCTCAACGCCGCACGAAGCGCTCTCGCTGAACACACTGCAGCTAAAAGATGGACCGTTGCATCAATTTCGACGATGCCCGGGTTATCGACACGGACGGTAGCCACACAAAAGGACAGTTTTTAGAGTCCTGGCACATACAAACAAGTCCTGAAAATCTTAACCACTCAACTGGAACCTTACCCAGTATGTACATGCACTGTCTACAGAGCCAGTTGAGAAAACACCGCAGCAACAACAACGGTGGAAAGTAGGATGATAGAGAGGGCGACACCGCTAAGAAAAATCATGAGCTTCAGAGCCGACCGAGCAGTCGCCTCTAAAGAAGGAACCAAATTGGTCCCGAAATGTCAGGGTTCACAGTCCTTACCTTTTATGTTTGGACTATAACTTGGCTGGAGAATTTATGTTATTATAGTATTAAAGCTCACCCAGCCGGACAAGTGTCTGTCGAAGATTTTCACCTTTTGAGATGAAAGTGTTTTTCTTTGCAGAGTTTCATACATGG